TGTTCAATGAGAACTTACTCCCAGTGAATGGGTAAAAGATTCCAGCCTAAATAGTGTTGACCATTAAGATGTTATAGTCTTGATTCGTGATAGTCATGGATCTGACTTGGTGGAGGTCTTCAGTGAATGTTAATCTTGCAAAGTTCAGACTATTTTTTCTGAGTCTTATTAAGCTAGCACTCAATAACTTTGATTGCTTAAGGTAAACAGTGTGATAAACATAGTATGCCAAAGCTAAGGTTTTCCCCTCATCAGTGAATTTACTCTACCAGTCTGCTCATTACAACTGTAGGATACCAGTTTGAATACCAATTCTATTTTCAACAGTAAGTGGAGGCCTACCAGTACTAATATATATATTGCTACCTTTTCCTTTCCTACTCTTCATTTTGATATAAACTGAACAATTTCCTTAGTAAATTACCAGAATAAATTAGTCACTGGATAACAAAGACAAAAATGCATCAAATAAATAAATAAATAAATAATCTCGAGTTGCCAGACAAAACATATATGGGCATACAATTTCTCTTGGCTTTGAAATACAACTCAATTACAAAAGAGCTTTTCTGCTCCTCAGATGGGTATACTATTCTTATGATGATGTACGCCCCAGTCTAGCAATCCAGGCTTGGTGAGGGTTCCAATGGACACACAGAGCTGAAAGTACAGTTCCATTAATTTAACTGGAGACAGAGCTTTGGTGTGAAGAGAGATAAATGTATGGAGCTGTGCCTCCTCTAAAGTGAATGGGTGAGCCAGAATGCATAAGAGCTGACGGCAGATAGAGAGCACTGGTATGGGCAACAATGCATATTTGTCACCTTTCTGTCCACCTCTGCTCCAACTGTTATGGATGCAATTCTTATTCCCCCTTTATATATTAGTTTGTGTTGCATTCATGTTTGATTTGATTATATTATAAAGATTTTCTGATGCACTTCAAGATCTTGTTATCAAATTGTCAAGCTGAACATAAATGTCAGGATAAATAAATAAATAGTGGCAGGCAGCAATGTAAGGTCATTTACTCAGAAGGACAGACTCCCTATGACATTTGTTCAAGATAGGACCTTCAGTGTTGAGTTGATTAAACTAATTACAACAACAACAATTAAACTAACTACTACAACAAATTAATTGTAGTTTGTTAAGGGTGCTGAGAATTGTTAGGAAACCCCTATTTCCCTCACAGAGCTACAATTCCCAGAGTTCCCTGTGAATAGGGATTGATTAGCACTCTGGGAATTGTAGCTCTATAAGAAACTAACAATTCTTAGCACTCTTAAGAAACTACCGTTCCCATGATTCTGCAACTGTTTAAAGTTGAATGATACTGCTTTCAATGTACAGTGCAGATGGAGCCTTAGAAAGGCAAGTCAGGGAGTCTGAGCCTAAGCATGCTTCCTTATGGTAGAATGGAACTCTTGATGGCAGAAGATAGAGCATTCTGCTGCAGAAGCAGGATGACTGGCAGTGCAGAGGCAGGTGGCAGAAGGGAGGATTTCTGTTCAGCAAGCAATGAATGGCTGCTGCCTTGTGGTAAGAGTGGCAGCAGTGGATTAGCCTCAGCTGGTGCCAACGGTGAGTTCTCCTCACTTTGCCCTTTGTGTGTTGTGTTGTGTTGTGTTGTATTTGTGTGGGTTTGAAAGAGAGCTGGCTATTCTATTTTGTTTATGTTTCTATATGTGTGTCTTGAGTGAGTTGGCTTTCCTGTTCTGTGTGTATGGCTATGTTGTCAGGTGGTTAGGAGAAGCGTCTATGTGTGTGATTCTGAGAGGGGGGAAATATGCATTCCAATTCTTATGTGCATATTTTTATGTTCATATTTCTGAGTTGCTACTGGGAAATACGAATACAAGAATTGCACTGATTAATTCATTCCATAAAATTCAAATGATTAATCAGCTAAGATATCTTTAACGGAGTGAAAGCCCTGGTTTAGGCTTAGAGTCCTAGCAAACTCAGCCTAGGAGGGATATTTCCATTCGTGTTTTCACTTTTTATATTACCAACTGTGACACTTGGATTTGTGCATATGACTGAAATAGAAGTGAAGTAGAAGTCACTTCCTAGTGTTTGTTGATATCTTTGCCTACATAAAAGGAAATCTATTCTTAGGTGTCTGGTGTAAGCGTACTGCATTCCTCAGCAAGAAACGTTTGGAAAACTACCAGCGCCAGATGATTTAGAACATACATTCCAACAGAAGGAAGTTATTGGACATTCCAAAATATGCTCTAACAGAGCCATAATTTCATTCCAAGGACCTAAATATTTACTTATTCCTTTTGTTTGCTTTGCCTAAATGACATTCTTATTCATATACGAAAGTGTGAAAGCTATTTGTGACAACAAGAAGATGGGCTGTCTCAACAGAGATAGTTTCTAACAGAAGTCCAGTGGCCATCCAAAAGCAGACCATCTTGGCTGTGAGTCCTGGAAGATCCTGAAGGCCTTTTCCCAACTGAGCTGGGAGGGCAGGGCCCTGACTGTGGCGAGGCTGCTGAACAGACTCTTGGGCTGGGGTGTTGTTTAGGGAGCTGGGCTGGTGCAGGTTTGTTGCTGTTGTTGATATTAATTTTTTGTAACTTTATTTTAAGATCTTATTATGTTTCAGGTGAAAACTGTTCATTTTGGTTGTGTAATTTTGGATGTTTTTTTCTATTGCTACTTTTGTTATGTTGTTTGTAATTACGTAAATTTTTTCCTGTTGTAAGCCGCCTTGAGCATGTTTCTAGCTATGAAAAGGAGGCATACAAATAAAATGATGAATGAATGAATAAGATTAAGCCACAGCTCTCTAGCTACAAACTTTGAAGCAAGAGAGCTTTGCAGCTCCCTACTCATGGCAGCAGCTCATCAAAAGAGGAGGGAGAAAGGTTGTTTTCTGCTGCTCCAGAGAAGCGGACACAGAGCAATGGATCCGAACTACAAGAAAGAAGATTCCACCTAAACATTAGGAAGAACTTCCTGACAGTAAGAGCTGTTCGACAGTGGAATTTGCTGCCAAGGAGTGTGGTGGAGTCTCCTTCTTTGGAGGTCTTTAAGCAGAGGCTTGACAACCATATGTCAGGAGTGCTCTGATGGTGTTTCCTGCTTGGCAGGGGGTTGGACTCGATGGCCCTTGTGGTCTATTCCAACTCTATGATTCTATTCTATTCTATTCTATTCTATTCTATTCTATTCTATTCTATTCTATTCTATTCTATTCTATTCAAGACTTCCTGGAGGTTAAGGTCAGTTGAAGAACATGCTTGATACAAACACATTCGGGACTAAATATTAAGAAGGCTGAAATTGTCCATATTACTAATCATGCTTATTGAGAAAGTTTTGTCTTTCAAATGCCTGTGAGTGTGGTTTGAGGCACCTTGCCCAATCTTTTTAGCAAGCAACTAATATACAAATATGGCAATGACTTTTTCTTTTTTAGCAATACATCAAAAGTTTTATCTAAGAAGATGCTATTTTAATCACCATTGGACGTTAAGTAATGCTCAATAGCAGAACATGAAGTACAGTAATTTTCCAATGGAATCATCAAACTTTGAACAGTCAATATCCAGTTTCTGATAAAAGAATAATTTTCATGTCACATGAGATTAATAAAATCTGTCATAGTATGACACAATCTATTTATTTCTGGTAACTTAGAAAGGAATATTCCAAGAGCAATAATAATGCTATAAACCTATATAGACCCCCCCCCCAAAAAAATAGCAGCATCTGAATCCACTGATATGGCAGCACCTGAAGCATCCCTCCATTTATGTGCCTGAAATCTATCTGTTCTTATTAGTAGTACCTAATAGTGAAATCCTATACTATATGTGTCTACTCAGATGTAAGACTAAACCATGGCTTAGCACTCTGTGAATGAGCTATGGCTTGGGTTTGGCTGTTCTTTCCTCCCCTCTCATATACTACAGGAAGATGACTTGGTTGTGCTTGCTTTCCATTTCCCCCGAAAACAGCTTGCAATTTCACCGAAGCTTGGGACTGTGATTTACAGTAACAATGATGAAACAGACTGCAGCTTCAGAAGTCATAATATGACTTGTTTGGAAACTGACCATAGCTGATGATAAACCATGATTCTGGGTTTTGATGGAATGGCAAGCCAAGATTAAGGGAATTTGAAATTGCTTCCAAAGCACTCCTTCCCCCTACATGAAAGGATAAATGTAAAAGCTCAAGGCTCACTGCAGCTTATTCCCATAGCATTAAGCATGGTTTATCATTACATCTGAACATAGTAAATGAGTTCAGTGGAACTTAGTTTCAGGTAAGTATGTATAGGATTGCAACCTTAAGATTTAAAGCTTTGTGAAAATCAGACTATACTGAAAACTTTAATGTATTTTATACAGCATAAGAATAAGATATAGAACATAGTAGATTTTTAAAAAAATGCTAATTCCAGACATGTACTAAATCAGTTTATCTCTTTACAGTTTACTAAGCTCATTTCCTATTATTGGTACATTCTATCACATGACTAATTGGTCATTAATCACTTTCTGAAGCAGGCAACTACTTTACATTCTTTCTATTCTTAGCACACTAGTTCTGATTTACATTCAATGAGAGCTTGGTAAAATTAATTATAGTTTTAAAAATCTGATCAGAATCTCCTGACTGCAGTTCTATACACACTGACATGGGATTACCCTCCAACCCCCTTTGCATATGCAGAACACAGTTTTTCAAGTACAGAGAGGTGGGGTGGTTTTTCTGTCTGGCAACAAACCCTTATGCTTTGTAGGGTTCAACTCTTGAGGACCCTAACCTCAGGCAGACACTGCTACAAAAAATGGGAGCTAACAAGCCTTTTAGCAAAGGTCCAACCTATTGAATACAGTGGGATTCACTTTCAAGTAAACATGTATAAGATTTCGCTCTTAATTACAAATGCTACCATGCAATGATTACTAGCATTTCACTGCCTGATTAAACAGTTACTCATTTTGCTGCTTTTCAAAACAAAATGCCCTTGCCTTTGAATGATAATCTTGCTCCAGCCTGGAGTCTGATCCTGCTACCTGTTTGTATTTGTTCATTTTCATTTGGCGATTTCTTTCTTCCACATCCATAGCACCTGTCAAGTTCAAAATAAAATAACCAGTTAATTTACAATTCTGTGTTGTTGTTTTTTAAAAAATGACATCAATATAAGCATTTTTATTCATAATGGTGAATATTGGGAGATTGACTTAAATGATTATGTATGTTCTTCAACATAAACAATAAATCCATTCTTTTGTTTGTGATGAATAAGATAGCTACAAAGGCAAAAACACATATACAAACAAACAAAAAACCCAATCATTGAGAATTTAATTGTTTAACACCAACTGTGTCAACATTTAATATGGTTCTAATATAAGGTTTTGACAAGATTTGTTGCTGCTGCTAGACTATCCAAGAGGAAAAACAAGCAAACAAACCCATTATGATTTTTAAAAAGCAGAAACACATGGAACAAGCATATAGATTTTCAAAATGGAAATCATTTTTGAATGTGCCAGTAATGAAGGCCAGCTTAACATGATCAGTCAACACAAAATGATGTTTCCTCATAATTTTTATATACTGTATAGAAGCTATCCTGTAAAATTTACTTCCAATGAAATCAAATAATCTTGGTAAGATATTTTCTGTATTTAAAAAAAAAATGAGTATGGGCAATATACTCAGAGTAGACCTAATGGGGATTAAATGGACACAAGCCCATTCATTCCAGTGGATTTACTCTGAACATGATTAACATTGGATATCCTATGTTTGTGGGCCTAACAATTAATGCTTAAAATATTTGATACATTGCCAAATATGTTCATCCCTAGTGGCATGGAAGAATGACTTATAAGCGTAATACTTTTTGTCCTAACAGAAAATTTAAAGTGTAAAAGCTATTCTTAAGAGTAAAAGCTACATTTTCCTTCACTAAATATTAGCATGTAGAAGCTAACAAAAAGTTTTATATTAATGGCTGCTGTATGTATTTATTTAAGAAATTCCCAACAACCATTTCTGCAACACAACTATCAAATAGTAATTGAGGCTTTTACCCACAGCGCCACCCGCGTCCCTTGCTGCTACTGATCATTAATTTAGGAAACAAAATAAAAGAACTATGACCAAGATTCATGTACAATACCAATGATACTAACCTCTTCTACATTCTCCCTTAATTATGATAATACTTTTAATATCAAATATGGATATGAATTAACTATGTCCTAGTTAATGTACTCGGGACGCGGGTGGCGCTGTGGGTAAAAGCCTCAGCGCCTAGGGCTTGCCGATCGCATGGTCGGCAGTTCGAATCCCCGCGGCGGGGTGCGCTCCCGTTGCTCGGTCCCAACGCCTGCCAACCTAGCAGTTCGAAAGCACCCCCGGGTGCAAGTAGATAAATAGGGACCGCTTACTGGCGGGAAGGTAAACGGCGTTTCCGTGTGCAGCTCTGGCTTGCCAGAGCAGCGATATCACGCTGGCCACGTGACCCGGAAGTGTCTCCGGACAGCGCTGGCCCCCGGCCTCTTGAGTGAGATGGGCGCACAACCCTAGAGTCTGTCAAGACTGGCCCATACGGGCAGGGGTACCTTTACCTTTACCTTTAGTTAATGTACAAAATACACACCAGAGAAGCAAACTATAGAAATGCTATATAGGTGCTTGGCTTTTTCTTGTAAACTAGTTTTATTGGATTTTTATCCAACCATCTCTTAGACAATTCTGATAATACAGTTACAATGCATTCAGAGTGGTGACACCAAGCCTTTGAAACTCCCTCCTGCTACAGATCAAACACCATCATTATTACTTTTTTGGTGCAAACCTTCCTTTTCAGCAACACTTTTAAGTGGAGATTTTTTATCCCAATCGGTATCTGCACTGGAATTTAATTTTTTTTATATATGGAATGGTTTTAATTGCTCTTATATGTTAAATTGTTTTATACATTTTTATTGTTTATGTTATTATTGTTAATCATTCTGAGACGTTTTATAGGAAGTGGTTAATAAATAGTGTTAATCAAATCAAGAATGTATTGATATTATTATTATTATTATTATTATTATTATTATTATTATTATTATTATCTATATCTGTTTAAAAGAATGAACATATGCAAATGAGCAACCCCTTTATCTCCTCCACTTGAAAGGAAGGCAGGTCTTACATGGCAATATTTAACCCAAAAAATTATTTTCCAAGGAATGTAAGCCTAGTATTTAACCCTTAAACATTTATTAAGGAAGCCACTGCAATCCGTGTAGTTGTGTAGGCTAGACAGATTTCTATGTTATATTGTTATTGGGATCCCAATCATGTACGCCATGTCAAAGACACAACAGTTAACAAGAGAAAAACATTTCTGCCATAGGATGACACTTGTATTTTGTTTTCCAAAACAGATTTTCAAGTTTGTGACAAGGGGAAGAGGGATTGTTTTTGTTTTGTCTTTAAAGTAAGACAATATGGTGATGAGACAGATGTCCGTTGTACTGCTTACCCCAAAGCAGTTTTCTTGAATACAGCCAACTTCACTATTTTTGGAAAATAGCAGCTGGTGAAACATACCACTGCAGCTTCCATTTTAAACACTGAGTTTCTAGCCCATTCTAGATTCAGGAAAAGTTTGAAAATACTGGCTCTCTTAAAAGATGAAGAGATCAAATGTCTACCCAAGGTTCTATACCTGAATAACTGTCATTATTGTTTTCATATAATATTCTGAATTTCTATGGTCCCATCATCATGTAGTTGAGTTGACCCGAGTTGACAACCAATACTACTCTTGTGGCAATATACTGTACAGAATATTTCAGTCTCTGACTGTGTGGCATTTTAAGGAAAGTCTTTTCTATCCCCTTACTCAAAAAGATTTGAGAACAATGCATATTTATACCATGAAGTAGGTAACAAGTGGGTTGGTTGGAAACTTAAGTATGATCCCATTTTTGAGAATATAAACCATCATGTTGATTTCATATGTATAAATATATTTAAAAATACATATGCAAGAGATGCAGGGATCTAGAACAGGCATTCAAGGCCTACAAATGTGTACAAGTGAACTGGCCCATAAACCTAGCATGATGTCTCTGTAATTCCTTAGACTATGACACAAATGCTAGCTTCACAAATGATGTTTTTGTAATTCCTTAGACTAGACACAAATGCTAGCTTCGAAATGCCCCTTCCTACACACTTGTTTGATGATAAAAGCACTGAAGCAGCTGCAGCCTTAATCTGATGAGACCCAGCTCATGGTTCAGCATGCCCATGGCATGGTGGTGTGAGAGCCAGCATGGTGTCGTGGTTAAGAGCGGTGGACTCATAATCCGGTGAACTGGGTTCGCTTACCTGCTCCTCCACATGCAGCTGCTGGGTGACCTTGGGCTAGTCACTATTCTCTGAAGTCTCTCAACCTCACTCACCTCACAGAGTGTTTGTTGTGGGGGAGGAAGGGAAAGGAGATTGTTGGCCACTTTGAGACTCCTTAAGGGGCATAGAAGGCGGGATATCAAGTCCAAACTCCTCCTCCTCCTCTTCTTCTTCGGCCTGCTGGCGTGCTTCATACTCAGCTAAAAATATTACTAGCCCAAGTGACCAGCTAGGTTGCTCTTGCCTGGCTTAGGACAATGATGAGATGTTAAAACTAATGACAAGCCTGATGGGAGATGTCACTTTCATGTCCGTTTCAAGGAGCGTAAATACCAGGTAATCAGTGTAATTAAGCAGTTGTGATGTGTGGAAGTTTATTTTGAGAGCTAATAAAGTGAATTCCATTCAAAATTTCACCTTTCATGCAATTTAAAAGGTCTCTTGCTTCATTAATAATCCTCTTCAGCTTCAATTAGAAATGTAGCCTCCCTCTGGGCATGATTGTTTTAAAACAGGGAAAGGGGAGCTTGTTTTCCCCCCTGCTACTAACCTGTGGATATTCTGTTTCTCGTTGATTATCAAGGGTTTTGGGTACTTTTAAGGCTTTTTACCTTTAGGGTCAAAAATTATTATCCTCTTATGTCATAGCATTCAGAGCAATCCAAATGCCCTTTGTGCCAGGCTGGAGGTGGATTGGGCTGGTCTCTTCCTGCAGAGTGACGCCAGTGCAGTCATCAGAACTGCATCAGGCCCTGTGTGATCACGTGACAGCCGTGAAGCCAGCTTGGGAATCCAACAGATCTGAGGCTGGCTCAGCCTTGCTCACCCTGCCCCTGGGAGGCCCCATTTTGGTCCTGATTTAAGAGTCTGATTTCTGTGCATGTTAGTTGATAAGGCAAAAGAAAGAATCGAGTAAAGGTGCGGTTTCCTGGGCTTCATACCTGATCATGTGATTGTGGTGGGGCCTGTATGTTGAGGTGACCATGGCTTTTCAACTAGCAGTTTTATTTTGTTTTATTGTGTTTTTATATATGTTGTAAAACACCCAGTGGCTAGGCCAACCATGTCAGATGGGCGGGGTACAAATTAACAACAACAACAACAGTTGCATGGGGAGCCCATGAAGTGCTGGCAGGCTATAACCACAAAGAGGGCTATTTGAGGCAATCCTTTCAAAACAATATTTTCAGCCCAAGGAATACAGTCAGTAACACACTGAAGACTATCATAGCTACAGAAGAAATAAAACAGTCAATAAACTGCCCTACCTTCATCCCCATTCTCTGGCACTGCGATGTGTTTAAAAAAGGGAGAGAAAATGCAAAAATAAAAATGAAGATATGGCAGAAATAATGGATTTTTAAAAATAAAATAAGCATGAATAAAATACAACAAAACATTTTTTTTTCTTTAGCTGGTCAACCATAGCTGGTGCTCCATTTTTACAGATGTATCCACATCATTGGCAATGTTCCTGGGTCTCAAGTATAGGCTTATCAGAGGAAACTCATGGGCATTTGTTCATTTCTAGAATCATTAAAACTGTCTTCACAAAAAGCAGCACAGGAGGCGTCAGATACAGTTAGCTTATGCTTCTTTTCTCTAGAATGACCGGTGAATGAAAAAGAAGCATGCATGCTATATTTTTAGCACAATCTGTTCAATGTGTAGCCAAGCTGGACTAGCAGAAAACTGAATGATGCAGAATTGTTTCCAATGGCTACTTGAAGCATTTTTGTGGAAAATTAATTTATAGCAAGGCTTCACCTTGAGTGTTGGTTGCACTACTCAAGATGCTTTCCTATATTTTATTTTGTGCAATATATGCTTTCAAGTCTTAAAATGTATGTCACTTAGGAATTTCCATACTTTTCAGCATACAAAATACCTATCAACCTATCAATCAATCAATCAATCAATCAATAACAGTGTGAATAATAATTAGCTGTGCACAGTTGGCTGACCAGCAGACACAGTTCATGGGAAAACGCAGTGAAAGCTTGGGCAAATATATGGCTATTAAAATGAACAAATGGAGAGTTTGTCCAAAATTCCTTTGGCATACAGAATTATTGGAACACAGTCTTAATTTGTATGGGATGCAAACAAGAAGTATTGCCAGAGCCTGGACTTAAGCACTACATAGTAGGTAGGCTACAAGTGATCGCCAAAGAAGAAGAGGAAGTAGGCGATCTTGAATGATGCTGCCTGGTCTGTCTAAATCAGGGGTAGTCAACCTTTTTATACCTACCGCCCACTAATGCATCTTTATTGATGGTAAAATTTCCTTACCGCCCACCAGTGCTCGATGGAAGGCAGATTCAGCTTGTGCTGTAGAACCCCCTACCACCCACCTGGAATCCTGAAACGCCCACTAGTGATGCCAGCAGTTAAGGTTTCATGTAGCCAGAGTGAGTCCTTTACATATGTTACAATATGTAAGAGACTCACAAAACACTATCCATGGAAATTCTCTATGCCTTTGCCACACCTTCTTGGGAATGCTGATGTGAATGCTTTGCACTTGATAGTGCTGCAGGATTGAGTCCCTTATATTTGTGTATAAACACACACACACACACACGTATACATGCTCATGGAAGGATGAATGCTTATTAAGAGTGGTAAGTTCCCCCATTCACTGTCCAGCACACAAAAGTTACATTTTTTATACAAGGAGAGGGAGCACAGATTTCTCCATGGATAAAGTGTACATTAGAAAAGCATCTTATGAGAGAAATGTGCTCCTAAGTATTTCATTCTATCAAAAGCACAGTATAGTAAGTCTTTATGAGAACAAACAGCAATGGCTATCCAGAACACTAAGGATAATGATTCACTTTTCATCAGGATTTATCTACTTGTAACTATAGACATATTTTGTAAAACTCTTCTTTTGTTAAGTCAGCATCCCATTTTTAAACCTAGCAGAACCAGATGGTGAAGAATATACGGATTCCAATTCAACTCTAGTCATGCACAAAAATTGTCCACTGGATGTGGAGGAACAGCGCTATCAAAAGATACGCATTCACATGAGGTATTTGCATGGGAGATGGATTCCAATGGGGATCTCGTCTTCTGGATTGTAACAGCAGCATTTAATTGCAAACTTGCAAAAAAGAGGCAGAGAGTAACTAGACAGATTTTTTTATATATAAAAAAGATCAAAACATGAAATAACCCAGTAACTCAATAACACGTATGCTTTCAAGAAAGAACAACATGCCAAAATGATACCTAAAGGAAAAGAATCCAAATAAAAGTCTTGAGGTTGCTATAAAAGTAAGTTTTCACAGCTTTTCAACACCATTATGTGTCTTAAAAGTAATGTCACGCTAATTCAACCCATACAAGCCTGCTTTATGGGTCTAATGAAGGGTCAGCTACACATTCAGAAAAAAACTGACAGTATAGTCCTTTTTAACTATACCACATCAGAATGCAGGTGAGAAAATCTAATGCAAGTATTTTGCTGTCTTAGGAAAGACAAGATGGCATGCCTCTCCTATTCCATGTACCAAAGCCCAAAGCCAACTGACTAATAATTGACTCTTACTTCAGCACTGGTGAAGGGACAGCATGCTCCTCTACACCTGAGGGCAGTGAAGCAGGACGCAGCTGCCTCACTCTGTCTTGCTCTGATCCCACGTTTGGATGCCCCCAAACTACATCCAAAACTGCATGCCAACAGAAAGCATGTCAAGAAAATGATAGGCTTGGGTTCTTAGGAGGAAGAAAAAGTTTTGCCATGTGATTTTCCTGCATCTGTAGGCCAGCTGTAAGAACAAAATAACATGTGAAACAGCAGTTCACCAGCATTTTTGTTTATATTGGGGTGGAGAAATTTGTTTAGCCTGCTCGTGAATGCTCATGGGAACATTACGGGGGCTACATAAAAATGGTGGGCAGGGCCAAAGGGGGAAAAAGTGCACTGTCTGCTATATTCTACTCACTCAAAAGCTAGATCATTCCACAACACATCTAATTAATCTCCAGCCAGGCAAAGAAAGAGGCATCACCATAGTTCAAGGACACATTTCAGACAGATGAAAGAACACAGGAGGGCACAGAGCAGGACAAATGAGGACCATGGCCCCAGGGTGGGGCATGGCTGGGAAGACTCTTAAAGGCTGGCTAAGAAGGTCTTGAGGACTGCATTTGACCCCCAGGCTTGAGGTTCCTCAGCCCTGATTTAAACAGCAGGAAACTGTAGTGGTTTTGCTATTTCATCTCTTCTGCACATTCAGGAAAAAAAATAACATGGTACAGCCCTCATTGGTGTACATGATTTTTTAAAAAAGCATGTCAATGCTTCAAAATGTGAGTCTGTACGATTTACCTGCTAAATGCAAGCTTGCTAGAACAAATTCTTAGCAATGAGAATCTTTTAGCCTTTGGAAAGAAAACCATCTCAGAGTGGAAGAATGGTTTTAAAGGAATAAAAACAACAATGATATAAATGGCAAATGAGACTTTTAACCCTTCTGTTTCAACTGTAACAAACTATCATGATGTAGTTAAACAACTTTTCCCACCATGCAATTGGGCGTCCATCTCAAAAGCATTTAATAACTATGGGTTGTATCCAACAAAGTTGTCCCATCATTAGCCTCATGTTCTCTATCTCTCCAACTGTCAACCGCCACCAGCGTTGTACAAGCTGACAGGTTATTTGTCAGGTAATTTATGAATTTGAGCACATCATCATACATACATAGTCCCACAAATATGCAGGACATGCTACATTATCACTTGGTAATATTTTGTTTCCAAACCAATAGGCACTCAACCACCTATGTTCGCTATTAGAGGGGAGGATGATCTGGGTAACCTGACTATGAGCCTTCAATATTTCATAAACTGCAGAATATATAAGGCATGTAAGAAGAAATTGTTCTAAAATAAAAGACAATACCCTTTTCTCTGGAAATATGACATACCTAAAGGGAAACCATAACTCCTCCAGAAGACACTGTTATTAGGAGAAGGAATTACAAGCAGCAAAGGAATGCCTCGTAAAATAAGTAGAATCTAGGAGAATAAATAGCCAGAGTGTAACCTTTTGTGTGTGTAAGAGTAGCTCTATTTTTCTAAGCTCAAAATGCAGTAAGTCATTTCCTACCCTTTATGAAAGCCACATTTTATTATATGTGACTCTTCAGATTCATTGGACTCATCAGCACCAACCACTATAGCCAAATGCCAGGATGAGAGTTTTAGTCCAGCATCAACTGGAGGGCCAAAGGTTCCCATTCTTGACCTATGTATTTGTTCTTTAAACTTAACAGCACACATTAAAAAGAAAAAAAAGCAGGTCTTAACATTAATAAAGATTAAACCAAGCTCCTGGTAAAAAATATAAATGATGAGAGTAATAAAAACCTACAGAATATTTAGGTGTATGGTTAATGGCAAATAATATAAATTTGTATAAGGATAACTATTTGGAAACTTGGGAGGATATTAATAGAAATTTGCAAATATGGGGTAGAATGAAACTTTCATTGTTGGGCAGAGTGCCAACCATAAAAATGAATGTACTACCAAAAATCTTATTTTTGTTTCAATCAATACTGGTGATTGACACGACAGATTGTTTCAACAAATAGCAAAAAATATATTTCTAAATGTACCTGGCAAGGGAAAAAACAGAGAATAAAATATAAAATACTGATAGATACGAAAGAGGGAGGAGGTTTCTCCCCACCAGATATATTATGAAGCATCTTGTCTGTGCTGGTTGAAGGAGTGGTTATTATTGAAGAATTTGCATATTTTAGATTTGGAAGGTCATGATAATATTTGGGGTTGACATGCTTATTTGTGGTATGGAAAGGCAAAAGTACATAAGGTTTCACAAACCATATAATTAGGAAAAAAATGTATAGAATATGGGATAAATATAAAAACTTATTGGAGACTAAAACACTACTTTGGCTTTCACCTTTGGAAGTCATAGTGGTGAAAAATAAAAATATGATGGAAGGTTGGGTGACATAGAAATCTGCTAAGAGAGAAGGGTGGAGAATTTAAATTAAAATAGTTTAAGAATTTATCAGGGATGTTAACAACATGGTTACAATATCATCATTTGAATGAAGTATTTAAAAAGGATATGAAGTGGGGGTTTGGGGAACAACTATCACAACTAGAGAGAGACCTGTTAAACTGTAATGTTAAAGTAATATCTAAAGTGTATAAGATGTAATTGGAATGGGAGACAAAGGACAAACAAGTGAAATCTTCAATGTGTAAATAAGCCATATCCCAGAGTCTCTGTCGTTGC